TGAGCCGCTGCCTTCGGCTCAGGTCATGATCTCAGGGTCCTGGGATCGAGTCCCACATCGGGCTCTCTGCTCAGCGGGGTGCCTGCTTCCCTCTCTCTCTCTCTCTCTCTCTCTCTGCCTGCCTCTCCGTCTACTTGTGATCTCTCTCTGTCAAATAAATAAATAAAATCTTTAAAAAAAAATTAAAAAATAAAATAAAAAACTTCACGTTATTGGCAAGTCACGACTCAGGTGCTTGGCGGTCAGGGGCCCAGTGGATCCCACGCTGGATGGTGCTGGTCTGGGACCTTCCCACCAGGGACGGAGGTTCTGTTGGACGGTGGGAGTCTGGAGGAGAGGGTGGGCCAGGTGCTTGGGGAAGCTCAGGGACTGCGAACCTCCCCGCTCCCCATGTCCAAGCCTGGCCCTGCAGCACCTGTCTCCTCTCTGCTTTCAGCTCTGGATCATTCCCAGCATCCTCGGCAGCTCCAACCTCTACTTCCTGTCCGACGACGACTGGGAGACCATCTCTGCCTGGGTCTATGGGCTCGGCCTCTGTGGGCTTTTCGTGGTGTCCACCGTGTTCCACACCATCTCCTGGAAGAAGAGCCATCTCAGGTGCCTCTGCCTAGTCCACGGGAGGGACATGGGCCGGGCAGGTGACCAGGGTGGGTGGGGGGGCGTATCTAGCTGAACCCAGAGGGGTCTGGGGCGGTGACTGTCATGCTGTCTTTGCCTCGGCTGGCCACCCGGGATTGGGTCCCAGCTGGGCAGACCACCTCACCCACCATGAGCCTCGTTTGCTCGCCCCCAAAAGGCCCGGAGAGCAAGCCCTCAACTCCCAGTATTGTTACGAGGGACCCTCTTAACTACCCCTTCTGGGTACCCCCGCCCCCGCCACCGCCCTGGGTCCAGGCCTCACATACAGACATCACCCGTAATCTTTTCAATAATTCTGCGGTCTAGGCATTGTCTCAGATTTTTACATTTTTGCTTTGCTTTCCATTTTTAAAAACACTGGGGCAAATACCCATAACATAAATGGACTCTCTTCTCCAGTCTGAAGCGTCCAATTCAGGGGCTTTAAACACAGTCACACTGTGGGGCCAACACCACCACCCAACTCCAGAACTTTCTTCCTCTTCCTGAATGGAAGCTCTGTCCCTTTTTTTGCAGTGACCCCTCATCTCCAGCTTCAGCGGCCCCCTCCTCCCCAGGAGCCCCGACTCCACTCTAGCCCCCATTCCTGTTTCCTGTTCTTGCCGTCTCTGTGGGTCTCGGTCCTGCCCCACTGTATGAGTTTCTTGTGGCTGCTGGAACAAAAGACCATGGATGGGGCCGCTGGAAAAAACAGAATTCATTCTCTTATAGTTTAGGAGGCCAGAAGGCCGAGATCCAGGCGTTGGTGGGGCCATGCGCCCTCTAAAGTCTCTACGGGAAAATCCCGCCTCTTCCACCTTCTGGTGGCCCCCGTGTTCCTAGACTTCCGGCTGTCACTCCCAGGGATGTGCTTATGGCCCACGCTGCACGCATCACGCTAGCTGCTGTTGTCACTTTCAGTTCTAGGAGGACACGCGATGAAACCACACGCAGGATCCCCGGTCTGTTTCACCGAGGGCTGCAGTTTTCTGGGCAGAATCAGTTTATAGTAGTTATCTGTGGCTCTGTAATATGTTACCCCTCCGTCACAGAGGTTTTATTTATTTTTAAAGATTTTATTTATTTGTTTACTGGGTGAGTAAGAGCGAGAGAGCACAAGCCAGGGGGAGGGGCAGAGAGAGAGGGAGAAGCAGGCTCCCCGCTGGGCAGGGAGCCCAATGTGGGGCTCGATCCCAGGACCCTAAAATCATGACCTGAGCCGAAAGCAGACAACTCAACTGACTGAGCCACCCAGGCGCCCCAGTCACAGGGGTTTTAAATAACGGGAAACCTTGGAGCATCTATGATCAAGCCTCAGAAATCACCATATTTCTTCAGCCCTCTGTTGGTTACATGTGTTTGCCTTATTCATCGTGGGAGGGGGCCACGCATGGTTGTGGATACCAGCAAGTGGGGCTCTTTGGGCACCATTTTGGAGGTTGGCCACCACACTGGGCGAACACTTTGACGGCTACCGTTGGCTACTCAACGTGAGGTCACAACAAAAACAGTGAATGTTTATTGAGCACATCCTGATACGCACAGTGCTATGCTAAGTACCAACGTGCTTAACCCGCATGGCCGCCTGGTGATGGGCTGCTGGTGTCCTCCCCACCCCATAGATCAGAGAAGCTTGTTCAAGGTCATAGTCCATAAGTGGTGAGGTTGGGATTAGAACTTGGGTCTTCTCGGGGTGCCTGGGTGGCTCAGTGGGTTAAAGCCTCTGCCTTCGGCTCAGGTCATGATCCCAGGATCCTGGAATCTAGCCCCACATCGGGCTGTCTGCTCCGTAGGGAGCCTGCTTCCTCTTCTCTCTCTCTCTGCCTGCCTCTCTGCCTACTTGAGATCTCCATCTATCAAATAAATAAAATCTTTAAAAAAAAAAAAAAAAGAACTTGGGTCTTCTGGCTCCAGACCTGGACCTGAACCAGAATGCTAGCACCCGAGCCCCCCAGCCCAGTCCCCTCTGCACCTGCAGGCAAGGAGGCATGTTTGTCCCAAGGCATGGCTCTGGGGCCTTAACCCTGTCCCCTACCCCTTCTCTGCCCCAGGATGGTGGAGCATTGCCTGCACATGTTCGACCGTATGGTCATCTACTTCTTCATCGCGGCGTCCTACGCACCCTGGTGAGTATCTCTGTATCCTCCCGGGCAGGGGTGCGGCGGTGGGCGGCCAGGCCTGTCTTCCTCTCTCTGAATGTCTTCTCTTTGGCTGGGTCATCTGTTGACTCCCGCACAAAAGCGTGTCAGTAAAAAGATGCCCTCTGCCCGTTCTCCTTCTGGAAGCAACTACTTAAGACCAGTTTCCTGGGTCTCTTTCCAGAGTTGTTTGTGCAAAGAGAGCCCCAGGTGTGTGCCCATAATACTGTAAATGCATCTTCGTTCGTACTTTTCCTCCGGCTTCTAATGCAAAAGGAGGGGCACTATACAAACTGTGATTTGCTTTTGCTCTCTAGGTGATTTTGCCGGGGGCAACTCTCTGTAATTAGTACATTGAAGAATGTCCCTGTCTTTTGTTTTGTTTTTCTACAACAGCATAACATTTCCTGGCCGTCCCCTGCTTGTAGATGTTTCTGGCATTGGGGCGCTCCGTCCCTTGGGTAGGAGAGACCTTGCCACAGTCAGTCTCCTTAGTACCCGCGTGTGGATGTGTTGGCTTGAATCCTATGACGTTGCTAAGAGGCGGCCTTTTCTGACCTCCAGAAACAGTTTCATGTGGCCGAGCGGGTTGATTGGATGTGTGGGAGGAGGTAGACAGACAAAGGGGCTTGGTGACCAGTTTCCGGGCTGGGTGCATGGGAAAGTGGGACATGGGGCAAGGCGGTGTAGAATCATTTGGTGGGTATTTTTCTTTGAATGGCTCCGGTTTTCACGCCGTTTTCTGCAGAGCCCTCTAGGTCCCCAGAAGACCATGGAGGAGTGGGGGTGTGAGTGACCGTGGGTTCCCCCATCCTTGCCTCAGTCAGGAAACCCCCTATTTTAATGTTTGTTTTTGGTAGATTGGATTTATGTGTAAGATTCCTGAATACAGTCTTAAAGATTTTTTTTTTTAAGATTTTATTTACTTATTTGACAGAGATCATAAGCAGGCACAGAGGGGCAGGCAGAGAGAGAGGGGGAAGCAGAGTCCCTGCTGAGCAGAGAGCCCAATGCGGGGCTTGATCCCAGGACCCTGAGACCATGACCTGGGCCAAAGGCAGAGGCTTTAACTCACTGAGCCACCCAGGCCCCCCTATTCTTTTTTTTTTTTTTAAGGTTTTATTTATTCATTTCACAGAGATCACAAGTAGGCAGAGAGGCAGGCAGAGAGAGAGGGAAAGAGAAGCAGGCTCCCTGCTGAGCTGAGAGCCTGACATGTGACCCGATCCCAGGACCCTGAGAAGATGACAGGAGCCAAAGGCAGCGGCCTAACCCACTGAGCCACCCAGGCGCCCCCAGGCGCCCCTATTCTTAAAGATTCTTGAAAGCCTCTGAAGTAGCAGAGAGAGAGGGGAGCAGAAATATTTGTTTGAAATGCAGCACACTTTTTTTGGGGGGGAGGGTTCATTTTCTTCTTTTAAAGTCAGGTGGAGATTCAGTGTGATATTTTAGTAAGCATTGACCTGTGTCGTCGAGGCTCCCAGCAACCCCATCCCAGCCAGTCCTCCCATCCCTTCCTCCACCCGTCCCCTCTGTCCCATTTTATACTGATTCTCCTTCCCACTGGCCTGTTTTGTGTCTGTTTGGAAAGCCTGTTAGAATGATCCTCACTGATGGTTCTTCCAAGTAATGGGTCGGTTTATTTATTTATTTATTTTACCTTTAAGCTTTCCACTTATACATGAACTTCTTCGTAATAACAATTGGACTCGGAGCCGATTGCTTTTTGGGGGACACGGGGGGTGGACAGAGGTTGTATATAAGACATTCTCATTGAAGAAATTCACTCCAGAAAAAAATGAAAGGATCCTTCCCCACCCAACCACTGCCATCATCAACTGTCCCTTTCTAGAAGGATCTCCCGCTCCCCACCCGACAAGGGGCTCTGATCGGTGTCCCACACAGTTACACGTCTCTCTTCACATGTGCAAATAATGCAGTCCTGTTACTCTCCCCTCGCTCCCCGCCACCACACCTAGCGACACATGGGGAGATGTCCGCACCAGTACGGACTGGTCTCCTGTTTCCCAGCCGCTGTGACAGTGTCACAGCGTGGTGTATCTGGCAGGGTGCCGTTGGGGGACAGAAACCATACAATGATTTGAACGCGGCACATTTGGTATAAAGGATTCATCATAGAAGATTAGAGGAGGGGAGAATCGATTAATGAGTGTCAAACACAAAATCTAGAGAAGCCCATAGTGACAGATACGAGGGACGGCTAAGACCAGGCCCGCCTCCATCCAGGGCAGAGATCCCCCCTCGTCGGAAAGGGCCTGGCCTTTGCCCACGGTGTGACAGAGAGGCTGTTGGGGGGGGCGTGGGTGTGGCCTGCTGCTGTGGCCAAATGCTGGAGAGAGCAGGGTCCCTGCAGGTGCCTGCCCCAGGGGAAATGGCCTCAGCCCAGCAGCGCAGAGAGAAGCCTGCTCTCGGAAGCTGGTGGGAGAATCAGGAAGGAAGAGCCTTTTCCTCTAATCATTGCTTATTGTTTCTGTCTGTTTCTCTGTCTGTCTTTCCACCCTGAGAGCCCACATCCCACTTGCAGAGCCATGGGGCCCAGGGCTGCTCTGGGATCTGTCTTCCCAGGAGGGGCTGGGCCCCCGGTAACCCCCCTCAGTCTGTGCCCTTGGCTCTCTCTCAGGCTGAACCTTCGGGAGCTGGGCCCCTGGGCCTCCCATATGCGTTGGCTGGTCTGGATCATGGCCTCGGTGGGCACCATCTATGTCTTCTTCTTCCACGAGCGGTAAGCCAAGGCTGGGGATGGGGCAGGGGATTAGGTGGGCTGGGCCTCCTCCCTGGCCCTGGGGAGAGGATGACCCCAAAACATGAGGGCACAGCTCTGCCCGGCATCCTGGGGTTCAGGCCCAGGGATGGCCGCCAGAGCCACAGCCTGTAGGGTCGATCTGAAGAGGTTTTGAAAAAGACCTTGTAGGTTCCGTGTTACCTGTGTTCCCTAAGCTGGGTTGTTAGATGAGAGGAGAGGCTCCATTCTGCCGTATGAGGAAGGAAACAGAGCTATGGAAGCAAAAAGGAGTAGCTGACTTCTGGAATTTCCAGGGAGGGCAAATCTGTCAGCCAGTGCAGCCACTCGGACGGATGGAGGGCAGCTGCCTGGGCCTGGCGGGGAAGAGGTCCTGGGATCCCATGGTGATGACAGCCCCTGGCCCGAGCTGTGGCAGGGGCCCGCACATGCGCTATACTTAGCAGGGACAATCCTGGCCTGTCCTCCCACTGATGGAGACCAAGTCCCAGAGGGAAGGACAGCCGCCCAGGGCCACCCAGCTCTGCCGGCACCTGCCGCGTGTCACGGGGTGAAGTCAGAGCCCGGGAGGGCTGGGCAGAGGGCGGCGTTCTTCTCACTCTTTTGGTTGGGGTGTCCCCTCCTACCCAGAACGGGGAGCTGTGTGCCGTTCCTCCTGGGGAGGCTGTCCCGAGGCCCAGATGGCTTGTCTTCCTGCCAGGTACAAGCTTGTGGAGCTGCTCTGCTACGTCGTCATGGGCTTCTTCCCCGCCCTGGTCATCCTCTCAATGGTGAGTCCCACCCACCCGGCCAGGGGTCTCCCAGCGGGCTGGAGGGACCCCAAGTGACTCTGGGGATGGCCGTTTCTGAGCCCCGCCTCTGGTGCCTGGGCAAGCAGAGGCCTCAAGTGGTACTCAGTAGAGCAGAGAGGCTAGCCCTGGGGGGCTCAACTCCCTGGCCTTGCAGGGGCTGACCCTGCCTAACCTCCAGGGAGCATGGCGACCCTCCCCGCATCAGCCCCCATTCCCCCGCATCAGCCCCCATCCCTGTGTCAGGCTCCCTGTGTGTTTAAGGATTCGATAGGAAGACCCACGGACAGCGAATAGGACGGTGCCTGGAACATAGTAAGGTCCAAGTCCCTGGAGATGGACATGAGGTCCTGTTCATGACAGCTTGGCTGGCCCGCGCGTGGGGGCCGCCCCTGAGTGGCTGAGCTGAGATTGGCCCCCATCACCACTGACTGTGGGGACGAGAATCTTTGGGCCTCTCCGCCTGGGCCCATGAGGGGCAGAGCCCAGGCAGAGAAGCAGCTGGGTGGGCCACATGTGGACCACTTTGCCTCTGCCAGCCTCAGTTGTCCCATCTGTCAAGTGGGCACAGTAAACTTACCAGCCTGGCACCTTCCCCGAGTTTATTACCTTATACAGTGGTTATTGGGAGGTGGTAAAATTATACGTCATCAAGTTTAGCAGAGGTTTTGTGTTTTTAAACATTGTATAGCTTTACAAACCTAAGCGGTATGGTTAGGAGGGTCTTCTTTCTCCAAGTTCACGTAAATATTTACCTGTGTCTTCTCCTATCTCTCTTGTGGTTTAACCTTCCCACTGTGGTTTCTCCTGGGCGCGGTGATCCGTCCCCGAGCCCCTAGCTAGTGATGTCAATTATCCGTCGTTTCCATGAGCTTCTTTGGTCACACGTTTAATTCACATGTAGATGTGGGTCTCCCTCCGATATTTCAGTTCTGTTTCCCCTAGGGGCCCGTCTCTATCCTGATACGAAACTGTTTTACTTAATGTAGCTTAATTATGTTTTAATCTGTGGCCCCGTCATTTCGTCTGCTCAGCATTTTCCCAATGATACCTATTTATTCTCACAGACTGCCTTTTCCCAAGTTCATTTTTATTTAAATATGTATATTTATCTATTAGGCTGTATAATATTAAATTAAATATTATATTATTGTATCTATATTAAATATTTTTAAAATTTTAAAGTTAAAAAATATTTAAATTTATTTTTTAAAAAATTAAAAAATTTTCTGAGGATTATTTAAGTTAAACTTTATATAATTTATAGTAAACAAATACTAAAGTTTTAAAATTAAAAAAAATTTTTTTTTTTACTTTTAAAAAATTTATAGGGCACCTGGGTGGCTCAGTGGGTTAAACCTCTGCCTTCGGCTCAGGTCACAATCTCAGTGTCCTGGGATCAAAGCCTGCATCGGGCTCTCTGCTCAGCGGGGAGCTTGCTTCCCCCCTCTCTCCCTCTGCCTGCCTCTCTGCCTACTTGTGATCCCTCTGTCTGTGTCAAATAAATAAATAAAATCTTAAAAAAAAATAAAATCTTTTAAAAAATAAAATCTTAAAAAAATCTTTACAATATTTTTAACATTTAAAAAATTTAAAACATTTAGGGGCGCCTGGGTGGCTCAGTGGGTTAAAGCCTCTGCCTTGGGCTCAGGTCATGATCTCAGGGTCCTGGGATCGAGCCCCACATCGGGCTCTCTGCTCAGCAGGGAGCCTGCTTCC